ACATATATATATATATATGTATATATATATATTTTTTTTTTCTTCCTTGATCTAAGATCCAATTAAAATTTATGCATTGGGGGCCTGGCAAGCATGAAGTCCTACGTGTGATTCCTAGTACCAAAAAAACAAAAAAAAACAAACAAAAAAAAAAAACCATTCATTGCTCTTGGTTATGTCTCTTCGATTCCTTTACAATCTCCATGACACTGACATTTCTAGATGGTCTAGATGGTTGTCATGTGTTCCACATTTTGGATTTAACTATTGCTCTACAGGTTGATTGAGGGTAAAAATAATTGGGTGGCAAGCTTATTACATAGGCAATACTGTAAACATCACATTTATGGTGGATTGCCAACTGGTGGTCAACTTGTAACACCCAGCTGAACTGAACTAGCATGGTGCTGCATGTGGCAGGCTCGCCTGAGGATTATTGCCAGCAGCATAGGAGACAGAACTGGAGAAGAACTGGGAGGCTGTTCAGAACTGTTTGGGAGCTGTACGAGCTGCTGGCTTTCCTTATGAACTTGGCTGTTCTCATTGGAGGTGCTCAGGACCTCACTGTCACTGAGCATGGCTACAGTTCACTTTGGGGGCCCTCTAGTCCTCACCTTGAGCATTACTTCTTGGCTCCAGGGGGAAGCTCAGTCTCCTGGAGAAGCTTGTGACACTGGCTTTTCTGATAGGAACTCAGCTTTCCTCATTGCTGGAGGAGCTCAGGACCTCACTGTTGCTGAGGATGGCTGTGGTACTTTTGGGGGAGCTCTGGTGCTTACCTTGAGCGTTGCTTCCTAGCTCCAGTTCAGATCCCTCAGCCACTAACACAAATCCTTTATCCCACTGGCACACTTTTTAGCTTCCCACTGATCTTTGGGCCTTCCTAGCGAAGATCTGTGAAGTGGGCCTGCATGCGACATTGCCATGGGCTCCAGGCCTCCAGGTGGACTCGTGGAACGCACTGCTAGGAGCTCTAAGTCTTCAGTTGGGCTCATGCAGGATATTAGGATCCAGGCCCTCAGCTGGATTCTTCGGTCTTTAGTATGTGGACAGATTTCCTGAACTCTTTGTATATGGTTCTTTGGGTGATTCATTATAAAATCTTATAAAATGTGTCCTGTATTGTTCCCCAACCATTGAAAACATTCAAGGCACACCACATCTGTTTTCCCACTGTGATGCTCCACTTGCTCAGCTAGTTAGAATGAGGCATACCAAATATTGCCATTGTGAAGGTCCCTGATCCTTTCTGTAATTACGTGATGTGTAAGATGTTCCTTCAGATTTCAGGAATGTGCTACTCCCAATAGGTTTTCACCTCGTGGACTTGCCTAAATCAGAGAATTGGAGGACAAAAAAATACATTCCTTCACATTTGTCTGCTGGTACTGTTTCTGAAGGGCTTCTCTCTTCTATGATTTTTTTTATTGCTGCAGATTCATAATTATATTTTTTCATAGAACAGTATTCCTTTTTATAATCAATACTCTAAAACTTCAATAGTTTCTCAGACATTTAAATTATTTCTAATATTTATAATTACTACAAAAACTTTCAGCAAATAACCACTCATAGATTTTTTAAAAATCTGTGGAAAGAATACTGTGAGATAAATTCCAGTATGTCTCATATTCTCTTTTTTTTTTTTTTTTTTCAGAACCAGGGATTGAACTCAGGTCCTTGTGCTTGCCAGGCAAGCGCTTATTCTACTGAGCCATCTCCCAGGCCCCAAGAACTGAACTAAGGGGCAGGGCCCCTCTCATATTCTCTTAAAACCCTTTAGGATCTGGACTTTGCCCTTATTAAATGGCACAGATGTTGATGGCCAATATATTGCTAAATGCTATGGCAGGTAGCATCTGACTGGAACTTCAGACCATTTGACACAACTAGGTATTCCCGCCTTCCTAAAATGACTTTCTTCACTTGGCTTCCAGGAAATTTCCCTCTCTTCCTACCCTGACCTTCTCAGTCATCTTCACTGACCTCCAGGCAGAAAATGTTCTTGTCCCTTGATCCGAAATCTCGTATATAATAATCATGGCTTTACTCAAGCTGCAAACTCCCTTATCTTAGCTGAACTCACTCTCTCTCTGAACTTTGGCTAACTTTTCTATGCCCTGACATGTGATTTGTTATAAAAGATATCTCAAGTTCAGTGTGTCCGAAATGGAACCTTTATTCTTTTCTCCACATCATCTCCTTTCAGTCTTCCTATCTCTGTAAACTGCAACTCAATCCCTCTGGTGCTTAAGTCAAAAGTCCTGAAATAATCTTTGACTTCATTCTTTTTCTTACACTTCAGACTCAAGTAAATCAACAAATCCTGTCAGTTTTACTCCAAACCATATACAGGATTTCACTCCTTCCCACCACAGTATATGTATTATCAGTTGTGTCTATAATATCTCTTCCGTTAAACAATTCAGTAACAATCTTAACAAAGATCTGCTTTCCCCAGGCTGTTCTCAGATAGTAACTAGAGTGACCTCTTAAAATGGAAGTTAGGGGGCCAGGGAGATGGCTCAGTGGAATATGTGCTTCCCTGGCAAGCGCAAGGGTCTGAGTTCAATCCCCAGTTCCACCAAAAAGAAAAAAAAAAAAAAAAAAATTGAAGTTAGAGCACACCATTCTAAACATTTCTAGTGACTTCTCTTTTTACTTACAATGAAAGCTGACAGCCTTATAATGGTCTACAAGTCCCTACAATAATTTGGGTTCCTGTCTCTTCTCAGTTTTGGTCTTCAGCTGCTGTCCTCATCTCATCTGTTCCATACACAGGCCAGGCACACTTGCATTCAGGATTTTTGCATCTATCTAGTACTCCTTTGCCTGGAGTGCTCTTCTCCCCAGATAACCACATGCTCTCCTGCTTCCTCCCTTAGGTTCTTCTGTCTCCAGTTGGGAAAACTTACAGAAGAGGAAATGCAGGACTCTAAAATTTCTTCAACAGCTCTCAAACAATTTCCTCTATTTTGGCATTACCCTTTCACTTTAAATATTCGTAGCTTTGAGAAATGTGCAACATAAATTGGACTAATTCTCAGTTTTCCCTATTGCTATTTTAGAATTAGGTTACTTTAGTTTTGCTAGTTGTCCTTCATCCATCTGTCCTCAAATTTCTAAGAATTATGGCTATTTTTTCTTTTATCTGCATTGTCTTACAGGGTTACAAACAACAACTACCACTTCCTTACTATAGTTTTAATCAGGCCTTGACAAAGAATAAAACAAGATGCAAATTTTTTCTGACATTAATGTGGATGTTTTAAAGTCACTTCATTTTAAAATACATATACTATAGGGCTGGGGATGTGACTTAGTAGTAGAGCTTCTTGTCTTGCATACACAAAGCCCTGGGTTCAATCTCTAGCACTACAAAAAATAAAAAATACAGCACCATGTGCCTGCAATCCAGCACTCTGTGAGGCTGAGGCAGGAGGACCACAATTTGAAGCCTAGACTTGGAAACTTAGCAAGACCCTCTCTCAAATAAAAAAAATAAAAAGCCTTGGGGATATAGCTGGTGTGAAGGCCCTGGGTTTAGTTCCTAATGATACAAAAGACACCCACATACTAGGCACTTTTCAGGAGGGCAAAACATTTTAAAACAAACAAAAATAGAGCCAGGAGTGGTCGGGCATACTTGCAACCCTACTGCAAGTTGAAGGCCAGCCTGGACTACATTTCCAGACCAGCTTGACTACAGGGGGACCCTGTCTCAAAAATACCAACACAAACCAAGCCAAAAGCAAAACAAAATAGGAAGGTATGACAAATTTTTTTACAAGATTTAAAATCACAATTAAAAAAAACAAACAGTTCCAATTTTTAAAATCTTTTTTCTCATATTTATTACTTCTGACATAACCTTTTATCTGTATTCAGAATTCAATTAAAAACAGATTACTATCATTGAATCCATTTGTACTATCTAAATAATTGCAATTTTATCTAGTGTTATGAGACTAAAATATTTCCAGAAAAGCAAAATCCTATTTATCATTTTCTTAAATAAAAGAAGACCAAGCCAGACGTAGTGCATGCCTACAATCTCAGCACTCAGGAAGGATGAAGTAGGAGGACCCCCCCCCCCCGCCCAACCCCTTGCCAGCAACTTAGACCCTGTCTCAAAATAAAAAAATAGAAAAAAGCTAAGATATAGCTCAGTAGTAGAGTACCTCTAAGTTTGCTACGTTGTTTTTTCTGTTTTGTTTTTTTGGAAAAAAAGCAAAAGGGGCTGGTGAGATGGCTCAGTGGTCTAAAGCACCTACTTAGAACAAGCTAAGCTAAGCAAAAGCACAGGGACCGCGGTTCAATCCCCAGCACCACATGCCAGCCAGCCCCGCCCTCTGGTGGGCTGAACTGGCCACACACACACAAAATAAATAAATAAATAAATAAGATAAAAAAAAAAAGAAAAAAAGAAAAAGATGACCAAGACTGTTTTATTTACTATAAACAACCTTTGGGGACAGCAAAGCACCCTTTTAAAGTCTGAAGTATCCAGACTTAACCCTAAAGAAAAACAATGATCTTTATCACTCTCCTAGGCTTAAATTCTAATTTACTTTAAGTGATTTTTAAAAATGCAAAAAAATTTCCTTTTATATCACCAGATAAAGCCAATGTAAACCGCAACAATAACAACACAATCATCATACATGTAAGCACTACTGTTGTCATAGGAACACACATAGGCGCTCAGGTCAGTGAGGAGTCCATCGCAGTCATGGGAAGGCTCCCCATTGCACAGCCAACACACAGCCGTGCACAAACATAGCACACAAGTGAAACTCACCTGTCTAGGAAGATATCTGGGAGTGGTGGATAGGTCTGCATGTCAGGCACTCGCTCATGGACTATCACCATAATGAACGATGTAAACCCGAACACTATAAAAACGTATACACAGCTCAGTATGGTCTTCCAGTACTCTGGGTCCAGTCTTCGGACAGAATGTTTGCTTTTGCCGTTCATGTACTGGTACTGATCGGCGCTCAGGTCGGTGAGGAGTCCATCGCAGTCATGGGAAGGCTCCCCATTGCACAGCCAGTCTGCACCCTGCAGAGCACTAATGCACGGGCTCAGGGAGCCCATGGGACTGTCACTGCTGTAGCCCATCTCCTCTAAAACATCAATATGTATTTTCTGCAATTTTCGGACCGAGAGCATTAACCTTTTAATGTCCCCTAGGACCTTGATTTCCAGAGGAGGAGAGCGGAGATCATACTCAGTCAAGGTCAGTAGTGTGAGCCCATCCAGTCGGTGCTTGTTGCACAGGATATCCACATACTCAAAAAAGCCTTCATCTTTCAGCCACACAGCTACGTGTTTTGTAGTCCAGCGGCGAATGCAGAGTTGACTGGGACCTGCCATTTCTTCCTCCACTGCCTGTCAGAAGAAAACAAAGATTTCAGTGTGTCCTGACAAATTCTTGAAAACCAAATATGATACACATGAACATATCAGAAACTGTAATTAATCTAGGATTTTTTTTTAATTTTTAATTTTATGTATTTGGTACAGGGTCTCACTATACAGCTCAGATTCGTAGTGATCCTCCTGTTTTCAGGCTCCCCAGTGCTGGAATTACATATATGTGCCACCACGCCCGGTCTTGGGGGCAGGCTGGGTACACCGGGCACAGCATGCAGTGCTGGGAATCTAACCCTGGTTCCTGTGCTTGCCTAGGCTGGCACTTAGACCCCTAAGCTATCTCCGCAGCCTCCAGAAACTGTGATTAATCTACATTGCCCTACTGGCTTCTAGAGTCAAAAAAGGAAAAGTTATTTAGGGCATGATTTTAAGTAGATTAACACTTTAACAATTTTATGTATATAACCCTGAATAGCAGAAGAAAGGCTAATGACCTAACATTTTACAGAAAACACACAAATGGTTATTCAATAGCAAATCAGCCACAACTCACCTAAAAGGACATGTTGTACATAACAGAGTAAAATCCCACTTGTACTTTCAAAAAATGAAATCTATACAAGATTTGCTATATGCAAAAAAATGAAATCCTCATTCATAAAGAAGTGTGCACCAATAGCTGGGCATGGTGATGCACACTTGCAAGCCTAGCACTCAGAAGGAGAGGTAGGGAACCACTGCATGGCCGAGGCCAATCTGGACTAAGCAGTGAGCACAAGGCTGTCCTGAACTACATAATGAGACCCTGCCTCAAACAAAACAAAACAAAACAAAACAAAACAAAACAAAACAAAACACCAGTATGTCCCCACTTAAGAGAAAAAAAACCACAAAAGTGAATGGCTAAATGGAGTTTCTAGAAATTTTTTAGATTTAGCATATTTCTTTCTATTGTATGGGAAATTGCTTCTCTAACAGATATAGTCTTTAAGCTACATACACACTTCAGCCTTACTAAGAGTACAATTCCTTCTATAGCTTGAATATCCGATTATAGAACCGAATCTACCACTTCTGGGACATATATATCTATATCTATATCTATATCTATATCTATATCTATATCTATATCTATCTATCTATCTATATATCTATATCTATTATGTTGGGCTGTGGGTAGAGTACTTGCCTAGCATGCCTAAGGTCCTGGATTCAAGCATCACAAATGAGGAGGAGGAGGTAAAGAAGGAGGTAAAGGAGGAGGAAGAAAATTTTAATTTTAATGTACTCATGATTTTGATAAAACATCACATTACAGGGGCCAGGGAGACGGCTCAGTGGAATAAGTGCTTCCCTGGCAGGCACAAAGGTCTTAATTCAATCCCTGGTACTACCAAAAAAACCCAACAAAAAAAAACCCTTCACATTACAGTTATGAAAGGCCAATATTGTACTATAGTTTTTAAAAGAATTGATGATTTTTACTTCTTTGATCTCATTCAGCTGTTTATTTCCTTTTTCTATTGTAAAACTTTTCAGTCACTTTAGGTATGGATGTTCATAAAATATATCAGATATACATGACACAAAGGCCTATTACAGAAAAAGAGGGAGACAACTACTCTGAAATATACTTTTTCGGGCTGGCCAAATAGCTCAGCGGATTCCAGGGTGTGATCCCCCAGCCCTGCCTGCTGGCCCCACCCCTGGGGCTTGCTGAGATGGCAATTGAGACTGGGCGTTGTGGCCCAAAAGACTGTAATCCCAGCACTTGGGAGGCTGTAAACAGGGGAATCACTATGAATCCGATCTAGTAGTGAGACTCAAACACCCTGTAGACCAATAGCTGGGTGTGGTCATGCACACTTGCATCACCAAGGGCAAGTAAATAGTGAAATAAATGCCCTTTTCAATGTCCTGAAAAGGAATTCTCTTCCTCTCCTGTATGTACAAAAAT